CTTCTACTATTTGAAACACCATTGTTTTGCATACGCGTCACTTCCACGAGGTTGGTGTCACAGGAGGAAGGGACCATAGCGGAGGATAGAAAGCTTGCGCAGGAAAGGAAGGTCCCGGCGGTTGACGGGGGACTAATCTGGTATATATAATAGTAGGAACCTTCAAGATGGGACGATGAAATGGCTGCCGGATCAAATTCAGAGCAAGCTGGATGTAGATGCGGTGATGTGGAAAAAATCTGGTGTAACGGTCATGACCTTTCTCGTGCGTTGGTTTTCGCTTAGGACCAGCCAGCGATCAAAAAGTCATACCGCACGCGTTGGAGGCGATTACAACATGTTAGAGGAATTCAGAGGGAAAGTGAAGGGTGCTTACCAGGGTGAATAACGGTCGAGGATTTCCTCGACCATAGCTCTCTACCATGCGAGAGTAGTGCCGAGAGTGAACATCCGCGCGGAGAGCACAGACGGCACGCGCATGGCGAGTGTGAATGTCCGCGCGAGAGATCGTGTCTGATCGGGCAGAGAATCCTCGACGTGCCGTTGAGGAATCCTCAAGCGATATTCACCCTGGTGCTCACTGGTGCGTAGTGGCGAGAAGAAATCTTTTTACACGTTTACGGCGAGTGCATTTTCCCTTTGCGCACGCACGTTTTTCACTTGCCAAGGGTCAGCGAGTACAGGGCAGATTTTACTTTTAATTTTTCAAAATCACAATAATCCTACTATATATAATCGGCTAAGCGGTTGTGTGTGTGTGTCTGACCGGAAATTCATAACTTCGTCCCTTTGGTCCCAGAGCGCTCAAACTTCTAGGTGGTACGGGGGGCTGAACACGAACATCAATGGGGAGTGATCGGAATTGATAACTACTGATTAGAGCTGATAACGGACATCACCAATTTCGCTACGCCATTCGCGTTGACAGTGGAGAGTTTCCACTCATAAGTGTAATGTGCTGTGTGACGGGGACCCGAATAGAGAGCGAAGAATGGTGATAGCAAGTGATAAGAGATGACAACGTGCGCCGGAATGCAAAGGCCACCAGTTTTGTTGCTCTCCTCGCATTGGCAGTAACATGTTTGCACTCATGATATTATGTGGGGTGAGGCGGGGACCAAGAAGGTGAGTGAAAGAAAGTGGTAGCAACTGATAAGAACTGATAAGGGGCGTCAAAGTGTGGATACCACCAGTTTCGTTGCGGCCTTCGCAGTGACATTAGAACCTTGGCTCTTACATGTGGTACGGAGAATCTTACGGGAACACGAATAGTGGATGATCAAAAGTGATAACAATCGATAACGGCTGATAACGAAGTCCAGAATTTGAGTACTATCAAATTCGTTGTAGTCTTCGTGGTGACAGTAAAACCTTCGCTTCTACATGTTTCATAGGGGGTTGGACGGGGACAACGGTGCTATCGGTATGAACGGTAACAAATGACAAGGAATGATAAGGGGCGTCTGAATGCAAACGCTACAACTTTGTTGCAATTAACACTGCCATCATGGCGGCAAGGCTAAGCCAGGTTCTTAGCCCGTGAATATGCTTCATTTCTATCCTTTCACCAAATGG